TTTCTAAAGTCTTGGTTTTCGAGGGTGGACAACGCAGGAGTAGTGCAAACGACAGGAGTAACCGTAGCAAAAGTTATGCATTTTAAAACGAAAATGCACTAGTGTAAACATGTGTAAATAGTTTATTTATTCCATGCTATTAAATGACTGGGGACCGTAACCTGCAAAAGCCCCAAAAAAGCATCATAAACTCATAATCATAATACTTAAAAAGGCAGTATTTTAATAGTATTTCAGTAGTATTTTAATAGTGGGAATGAACAAACAAACAAATGAATAATTAAATAAATAAACTTCAAAAAGTAACAACTTTCTCTTTCCAAAAGCAGTTACCCAGAAGTGGGTTTATCTTTCAAACTTCATTGGCGTAATGGTTTCCAAAACATCACTGCGCCCAAAGCTCCACAGTCGGAAGGTCATGTGTCGACTATTAACCTCTACACAACCCACTAAACACCTCAGCGTTCACCGTGAGAGGAGAGTAAATTACGTTCTTGCTGACAGGAAGTCTCAGATCTACTCCGTCTCCGACAGGCTTCATCTCCTTCCCTACACCATGACTGACTAGAGTCCAAAGGTCTCCTCCTTCAGCTGCTGCTCAGTGTGTGTGTTTACACATCAGCTGTCCTCGTTAATTTCCTACACTTGGAGATGGCAAGTATCACGGTTTGGTGTTTCGCAAGAGATGCAGTTCAATTTAAGTCATTCTTGAGAGAGGCTCCAGACTTTTCAAAATTGCTAGGAGCCTGTGGCTTCTAAAGTGAGTTTGTTTTAATATTATATACATTTTTATGTGTGTAATAAATAAACCTCGTTCTGTTTTTTTAAAGAATATTTATATCTGTCCAAAATAGAATAAAAGCTAAATGTTGTGCTGATTCTGGTTCCAAAGTTTGTACACCATAAGTCAACTTTCTACCATCTCCAACATTCACATATGGTTGTCAAATGTTGTCCCCTGTTGTCATTCACATTCAATTTATTAACCTAACAATACTTATTAATGACTTTTAAATTCTTCTAAAAAATGAATGGATGCTTTATAAGGTATTCACGATGTATGTTGTAGGGCTGGGCAAAAAAAATCGAATGCGATTTTCATGCGAATTTTGTCAGTAAAGCGATTCATTGCCAATTTTGAACGCGATTTTGTGTAGCCTGTCAGTGAACTACAGCTCTGTGCAGTAAATGCCGCTCCATCTGAAAGCACGTGCTGGAGATTTACTACTAATGACCAGAAGCGGCTTTAGTGACGAGATGCGCATGAAAATCGTATTCGATTTTTTTGCACAGCCCTAGTATGTTGTAATGCCTTACATATTACATTTATTCATGAGGTCATACAATGCATTATGAGGTACATTACAAGGAATAGTCAATGTATTAAAAATACTTAATGCACTATATATAAAGTGTAACCAAACTTACCTGAAGACTGTTCTCAAATAAATTCATATAAAACCATCAAACTAAAAGCTAACTATACTATACTTGTAGTAAAAAAAAAAAAAAAAAAAATCTACACAAATCATGTGAATGGACTATTTTAATGTCAGAAAAGCAAATTCTGCCCAAAAAGGAAAAACATTGGTTTTCGAGGGGTGTCTCAACCCAAATAATAAGCCTAATACAATTATTTAATAATTTTTAAGCATAAACCATTATTCATAACCAACCCTTTTACAGACATAGTGTTTAAAGACATTCAGTGCAAGTAAATAAGTAGATAGATAGATAGATAGATAGATAGATAGATAGATAGATAGATAGATAGATAGATAGATAGATAGATAGATAGATAGATAGATAGGTAAATAAATAAGTAAATTCACACACACACACACACAGGTAATCCTCACCTCTCACTAATAAACATAAAAAAAATTTAAAACCATTTCAAAATTACAATTCTATTCAAAATAATTACAATTACAAAACCAGACTACGCTAAATATGGCAATAATATTTTGAACAATAATAAAGGAGTAATGGTTCCTGGTTCAAACCAAAAAAAAAATTTTTTTTTGAGGCTTGAAAACTCAGTAGCAACAATTCACAGACTGAGCAAGTCTGATTCAAATCACTAACTCATGCACAAGTTTGTGAAACTGTTTTGTGAATCTTTTTTGATCACATAGGCCTATAGCATTTTCCTGACTCTCGCAATTGGCAGCCTCATTTTTTAAAATTACAGTCGCAAATTTAAGCTAATACAGTTAGGCCAATAAATGCTGTGGCATGCTTTTAGATGAAAGAATTGTTTTGAGAAGAAACGCAGGCTGCGGTGGTCCTTCAGGACGACCGTGTTGATTTGCAATATGAGACGAATAGAGACAAACTCCCACAGTCCTGAGGCAGAAGCTGCTTTGTGGTGTCCTGGCCTGAGGGTTGGACATCACAGATAATGGCTTCTGCAGTGAGCTGCCTGCTTTAACACCCATTTCTCATTTCCCCTCTTCAGGGCTGAGAATACAGATGGATTTGCTCCTAATGGATCCACACGTGTACACACAGCAACCAGCTCAGCTAGCAAGGGACAAACAATGCAGTCATTTTTTCCAGGGGCTTAAGGTCTTCCTATTAATAAGTCATAACCCTTCAAGCAAGCATTTAGTTTGACTTTAAAGAGAACAGACTGCAGAGGAGAACAACCGCTGGCTCATAGCTGCATGATCACAAAAAACTCTCCCAAATATGCACACTATCCTCTTTCTGTTTTAAATGCATGTTTGAATGTGGTACTTTCTGCTGAACAAACGAGTGTTGTTTTTCATATCCTGCTCATGACTCGTTCTTTTTTAAAGGAATGTTCCGAGTTCAATGCAAGTTTAAAATAATTAAATATTCCTTGCTTAAATGTGTTTTGTTTAAAAAAAAAAAAAAAGTTTATGCACTTACAATGGAAGTCCATTTAAAAAAAAAAAAAAAAAAAAAAATATATATATATATATATATATATATAACTTGTACATTAGGTGTTCGAAAAACAGCAATATCTCTTTGTGATGGCCGAAAGCAGGCTTAAGTATCTAAAAATCTCAATCTAAATATCACAAATATGGAATGACACGTGAGAATATGTGACCACACATGAACAACGTTACATGCATTTTAAAAGTACAGTCACAATACTAAAAATGATGCTTGTGCAATAAAATCACAATTTAAAGTATTATTTAAATCGACCAAACTACAGGAATTACTACAAAACCAAAACTTTATCCAATTAGGACAATAGCGAATTATACAACTTCACAGCTCAAGTAAGATATAGCTGTGCACAAAAGAACACCTACAAGCCATACTTGCAAATGCATTACAGAAAATACAATCTGTGTTTGTTTTTACAAACTGAGGAACTATTATCTGTGGTTATCATCAGTATGTCAAAGAAACTATTCATAGAGCTGTATTTGTTGTACAGCTGTACATTTGATGCACAACGCTGCAAGCTTTGAATACTCTTTTAACAAAGGTTGACGCATAAACAAAACCCCTTTTATAGTTATTCCTGAATATACATCATAAAGTGCCATCTAAATTATTATACATGACAATAGCAATGATATCACTCTCTATTGTCAAACACAGGAGGGAAATAAAATACTTGTAATTAACTATTTTTTCTACCCTACGCTTCTAAATGCAAGCGCTCTCCTGAGACCCGAACACAATTACGCATGGCTGAGACTATAAAATCACGCTAAATCTACACTCAGAGTTATCAACCACTCAAAAACACCGACACGCACATGCAGAGAGCACGGTGCTGCCGACGCTAACAACTTGCGAGCAAATGTTCAGAGCTATCAGCTGCCATGGTGTGAAGGTGTAAGGAAAACAAAGGGTGGAGAAAAATCATTAGCACCTAAGAGAATCTGCTTTGTACACACAAATTACCGCAGTAATTAGAGACAAAATACCACAAAAGCTTTGGAGGGCCTGGAGAGCGTTTCAATCTAATGCCAGTGAGGAAGGTTGATTCTCTGCATACAAATGCTCTTTATGTGTGAAGAGACAATCGTACATTCCTGCCTATACGCACTTCAAACACGTCGCTGTAATTGGGTGTTTCTTCAACTGTGGGCGCTTTGGTGTCTCAAGGGTTGAATTTTATGAAAACTAACAGGTTTCCATTTTTTTCCCTTTGTTTTGTTACTGTCTTCAATATGTTTCACCTTCATTAGTGGGTTTTTTTTTTTGCTACTTTTCCCAGACTCTGACTTTCAATCTTCAAATGTTAAAATCTTCGGGTCTTTAAGAAGAAAAAGAAAAAGAAAAAAAAAAAAAAAAAAAAATGCTTTTCTCCTACTGTTGGACGCTGTTAGCAGACAAACAAACAAATTAACCATTTAAGTGAAAAATGTGTTGTAAGTGAGTTTAATTTCTAAGTCCACAGGGCCAAAAGTGCGCACAGTTGCAGAAGCACCCAATTACAGAGTCTTTTATCAACAAGGAGGAAAAAAGTGACAGAGCAGGTCGCACGGGAATCTTTTGCTGTCTTCTAGGGGAGAGGGCTGTGGAAATATGGGGATGAGGACTGCAACCACCTAGCTTTATACTGCAACGTGGGTCCCCATCTCTGCTGCGTAAACAGCACGGGTGTTTTATGGCCTTAAATCAATTAGAGACGAGGCAGGCAAGACAAAGTGAATGTGGGGCGGGGGGTCGCTTTGCTTTCCCATGACAATTCGAGCACCGCCAGGCCCTTTGGATAAGGAGGTTGCGTCCTGCCTGTGGTGCGGAGTGAGAATATTCATCATGGATTTTATTCCTGGACAGGCCGAGCGAGGAAAGGCAAGGAGAGGAAACGGGACAGGGCACCTACACGCAGGGGAATCTCGCCGCGACACATTCGTCTCTTTCCCAGCGGTGCTCTACTCTTTCTCTCTCACACACACACACACACACACACACACACACACACACACACACACACACACAGACAGACAGAGAGAATGCATCAGGCCCGCACACTGGCAGATAGGGAATCAATTTACCTGAATCCCGTCCAGGAGCTTGCTCATGCACCAGAAGCTGTCAGCCTCGATGTTCTGCAACACCTCTTCCTGCAAGCTGGAAACATTGAAATTTTCCACTTCTTCCTCTGCAAAGAGCCAAAAGACAAAAGAAAATAAGAAAGAGACAGAGAAAAAGAATGAGAGTGAAAGACAAAGAGGGAGAAAAATGGAGGAAGATACAGTAAAAAAGACAAAAGTATAGAAAGCTTCCTTCTACATACTGTATGGACATCTTCAATGAAAGAGGTGGTAGAATTCTACCAGTTTTGGGGGCATGCATAGAGAATGCATTCTTACATTCAAAAACGGGTTTAAAAGAGCTTAAAACACATACGCAAACACGCACAGCAGCTTCTGGGAGTTGTCACAGAGAAATGTCGTTCAGGATAACTGAACATTACCAAGGGGCATTTACACTCACAGTGATATGCAGTGCCAAAAGCACAATCTTAAACACACAATGCTCAACATAAGACGTAGAAAAAAAACAGGAAAAAAAACCCAGCAATGTGCACTTGCAAGACATTAGCAACTAAGCATTTTCTTGCACATTCTTTTAAAGTCAATACATTTGTAAAATGTAAATAAAACAGTAAATAAATAAATACATAAAAAGTGAAAAGAAACACCAAATTTTCAAAAAAGTAAATAAATAAAAAATAAACTAATCATGAAAGACAAGAGCCTTTTAAAGGGGTCATATGACGTTGCTAAAAGAGAACATTACTTTGAAGTGTAATGAAATGTGTTTATGCGGTTTAAGGTTAAAAAAACACATTATTTTCCACATAATGTACATTACTGTTGCTCCTCTATGCCCCGCCTTCCTGAAACGATTTTTACAAAGCTCATCGGTCTGAAAAGCGAGGTGTGCTCTGATTGGCCAGCTATCCAGTGCGTTGTGATTGGCTGAATACCTCAAGCGTGTGACGGAAATGTTATGCCCCTTACCATACTGTAATGCCCTGTGTCCCCGGCACGACAAGACAAAAACAATAAAACCCATTACAAACGAGGCATTTGTTTCATCCAGTGGGGACATAATTACTGATTATAATGACTTATACTGTCTTTTTACACGTTGCGCTGCGTAAACATAAAACCATGTCTGGAGAAACGACAAACAACAAGTGCTACTCTACACTGCTCAAAACTCGCGTTTGAATCTTCAGTGGCAAATTCTTTAAATAAGTAGTTTCGCTTTCACAACGAATCACACAGTGCCTTCACGACTTGGCGGCGGCGGCAACAATAATACAGTGATAATAAAAGTTACACCTTCTTTCTTTGCGTGAACATTTGGGCGGCATTATGCAAATCTTCCCACATTGTGACGTAGACATGTGGAGGCGTGTTAGAACGAGCCGTTTTTTCACAACGAAACACACAGCGTCACACACGGCGGGCTAGAGTGAGAAACGGCCAGCAGGTTAGAGTGAGCGGCGGCAGGCGGATTCGATGGCTGGCGGTCTTGTAGCAACCACATGTGACGACCCCAGGCTGGACTCCGCTTCGTCCACGGTGCAAGACGATCCGGCGATCCACAGCGCAAAGTTAATGTATTTCCTCGGTGACCAGCACGGATCAGCTCTAGGCATGACGAAGCGGATATCGTCCTCTTTTGGAAGGCCAAACAAAGTAGTTTCGCTTTCACAACGAATCACACAGTGCCTTCACGACTTGGCGGCGGCGGCAACAATAATACAGTGATAATAAAAGTTACTCCTTCTTTCTTTGCGTGAACATTTGGGCGGCATTATGCAAATCTTCCCACATTGTGACGTAGACATGTGGAGGCGTGTTAGAACGAGCCGTTTTAGGTAGGCGTGGTTGACTCTTAACTTTTATAAAGAATATCTCTTTGGATTTGAGACTTTAGTCTTTGCAACTTTACAGATCTTCTTTATGCACCAAGAGCTTGTAACACTCCAAAGAGAAAGGAAAAATTGAAATTGCATCATATGACCCCTTTAAACAAGTTAATTTAGTATTAAACACATTTGTTTATTTAGTTATATATATATATATACACACACACATTTAGTATATTATATATTGTATATATATTTAAAAATACATACATTTTATATCAATATAATTGATATTTTGCACATTTTCATTTGCTATTTTTGATTTGGTCACATATTTAGAATTTGTCTTTACTTTTACTTTTTATTGTGTGTTTGTCATTTTAATTAGGTTTTATTTTATTTTATTATTTTATTTTATTTTATTATTTTGTGTTACTTTACTTTTTTGATAGCATGTTTGCCCAGGTCAATACGACAATGTATGAAAATCATAAACAGGCAAATATTTACCATATCAAACTCCCAAATCAGTTTCTTCACTGAACATCAGAATGATTTTCCTAGAGCAAATGCAAACGCAAGTGTAGATTTATTTAGTAACCACTGTGAACAAGTCAAACCACAGCTTTGACAGGAACAAGTCACAGGTTGAGCAGAGGAACGGTATCACAGAACTACACACACAGTGCTGCTCCGTCTCCTTGGCAACATGGGTCTAACCTTAAAGAGTACGCGAGCTCTGGCTGACAGGACCAGTGTGCTGCTGGGAATATTTGCAGTGCTGCAGTTTAGCGAAAGGCTGTCCAGCTTCCAGGCCGCCCACTGCATTAGTGCAGTCTAAAATGCCACTGGCCGTCTGCGCTCGTCCTAGACGCTCATGAATATCTGCTGTCTGACAGGTCACAGCGGAGAGGAAGCCACGATGGAGTATGATTCCCGAGGTAAGGCAAGAAAGCGCGAAAGTCTGTATGACCTCCAAATGGTGGACAAACTCATTGTGCTTTCACATAACAGCCTTCTGCTCAGGAGTGAAAGTACTCACGAGGCTTTCAAAGTGTGTGTGTGTGTGTGTGTGTAGGGGGGTGGGGGTGGGCTGTAATAAGGCAGTGTTAATCTCTCCAGTTGTGAGAGTCCCTTAACAGCACTTTCACTCATCACAAAACAAGGACACGCAAAGAGGAGCAAATCAGAAGAATGCATAAAACAAGCCAACAGCACCTCCTGTGGTCAGCAGTGGAGTTGCAAGTAAATTACTTGTTTATGGTATTAGCAACAATCTTGTATACTGTAGCCCCACTTTGGAGTGACATTTAAAAATGCCTGAATGTCATTGCAGTAAATAACATTAACCCTTTAAAGCCTGACATATTAAATGACAGTCAGAATTTATTTTATTTTTTGAAATTGAAAAAGTTAATTGAACTTTTGGACGATAATAAACACTAGGCTTTTATGGCTCATATACTATTATATAGTGAGAATATGAAGCTGACTGAGGATAAAAAATAAAAATAAAAAACTACATTTTAATCAGAGGCCCAAACAGCTGCTGATATTTTTATTATTTATGTGACAAGATAATATAAAACACATTTTTGTAACACTATGTAGATTGCATTATAAAGGGTTATTAAAGAGTATAACGAATTATAATTATTCATAATGAGCATTGTAATGCATTATATCTTGTCGTAAATAATAACTGAATTTAAAATGCATAGTGTAACAATGAATTGATAAGTGTTATAATGTATTAACTGTGGTTACAATTATTCATGAGATTGTACAATGCATTATAAGGTGCATTAAAAAGACAATGCATTAAAGCTACTTTTATAATGCACTATACATAAAGGCTTTAAGTAAAGTGTTACTAAAATGTTATATAGAAATAATATAACTGATTCTGATCGTTTGTAATGCAAATCAATGAGATCTTTATACAGTACAGCAGAGTGCTTACATAAATTTAATATAAATATCAGTTGTAAAGTGACTTTAGGCCAGTAAATGTTAATTTTAAAAATGTTGATATCATTATAAAAGTTATTGTTATGTTTACTTCACAGCAAAAAGACAGAAGACAAAGAGTACCACAACTTGAAGGGGGATGTTTTTAAATGATACTAGAGGGCCATTTAATTACTTAAAAGTATAAAATATCAATTAGATGACAGACGAATGTAGTGTAGATTGTGTTTTCTGCAAATTCGTTATCATGTTGACAGTTTAGAGGCCTTATAAATTTGCATATCAAAAATGATACAGTAGGCTTCATAAAATAAACAAATTAATGTTCAAGAAAGTGTCTTTAAAAAAAAACTTTTTTTTTTTCAAACAAATGCAGATGTTATTGTTTGTTCATTTCTGTCAAACGCACAGTTCGCATGAAATAAATCTGTGGTTAATACTGTGACAGCTGTGTGAACTTTAAAAAGCATAGCAAAAATGACTAAAATCAAAGCAAGTAGCATCTGCAAACAAATGATCCTAATGATCCTTTCTCAGAACTAACTTCTCTTTTCAACTGAATACAATGACATTAACATTTTAAAGTGTATCTAAATATATTTTTGAAACAATCATCCTTAAAGGGATAGTTCACCCAAAAATGAAGATTAGCCAATTATTTGCTCACCCTCAAGGCATTCTAGGTATATTAATTCCATCTTTCAGATGAATCCAATCGGAGTTATATTAAAAATTGTCTTTGATCTTCCAATCTGTTTAATGGCAGTCAGTGGGTGTTGCAGTTCATCAGTCCAAAAGAAGTTAAATGAAGCGCATCCTTCCATAATAAAAAGTGCCTCACATGGCTCCGGGGGTGAACAAAGGCGTCCTGTAATGAATCGATGCCGTTGTTTTGTTTTGATCTCTCCCCTGCGCTTCCGCGTGCGTCACTTCTGAGCGGCGCATGCGCAACACCGACGTCTTACGTCATCCGACCGGAACTGCTTCCGTGTACAACAGTGAGCGCAAGCTAGATTAAATTGATTATTACGTTTTAAATATGGATATTTTTCTTACAAAAACGCATTGATTCGCTACAGGAGGCCTTTGTTCACCCCCCCCCCCCCCCCCCCCTCGTCGGCTGGTTTTTTTTTTTTGTTGTTGTGGTGGTT